AACCTGGACTCATCTGTAAAAACAACATTTCTCCACCAAAACAAGGGTCTGGCGGACATGATTTCGAACCACATTCGGGCGAAGCTTGTCGATGGCGTTGTGTCAGGATAGGGCATTATGGCGGGGCGTCGTGGTCTGATCCCGTGATGACATAAGCGTTGTCGAACTGTGTTGGGGTGGATACGGCGAAGTCCTGGGATGGTTCGGGCAGTTATCACTGCAGTCTGAAACCTGTGGCAAAGATGGGTCACCCTTATCCATCTGTCCTGTCTTGGTGTTGTTACTGCGTGGGCGTCCAGAAGCATTGGGTCGATCGATGGCGTCATTTGTGTTCTGGTAGCGTCTCACCAGTGCAGAAATGGTGTTCCGGTGACAGTGGAAATGTGCAGCCACTTGCCGTTGAGACATTCCCCCACGGACCATCCCAATGGCCTCATGACGTTGTATGCTATGCGTTTCAATAGCCGTTTAAGTTTTTGTACGATCGCAAGGGCAGGGGTTGAGCTTTCTAAAGTGACAGTATTGTGTGGCATTCATTTGCTCTGTTTCTCTTTCCCGGAATGCACGTGCAACAACATATTTCACGTCTCAAGGACGAACCCAATGACGTCACGGAGCGTGGCACGTGCATGCATGTTGGATACATGTCACTAATGTCTGAGTTTAAATCCTTATGTGTCTACACAGGTTTGATAAATTTAGATTTTAAATTTTTGTATGCACAGTTTCTTTATGTGCCTAGTATATATGTCAATATCAGTCATTTCCATGTCCCAACGTGGGAAGCGGTGGTATGTGAGCTGTGCTCACTTCTACACTTGTTTGGAGTAGTAGATCACTCTGGCTCCGAGTGATTATTTCAAAATTCACAGTATTTTGTTTGTTTGTTTGTTTCATAATGGGACATATGATATCAATTTATCACAAAGGCCCGAGTCTTATACATTTTGTACAACTGTATAATGACATTCCAGTCAAGAGTCTTAGTTATTGGAAGTCACATGCGATTTTAATCTCAAGTAGTTCACCTAAATCAGGATTTTGTTTCATTTTGCAATAGGCCATGTTAAAACATGTTTATACTGGAGTTGAATCTGAATGAATCACTGACATACAGTAACAATGATGACATACTGCACTGAAGTACATTTTGTTTAAGCAAACAACACTGACCATGAAAGTCATGTTATACTATTACCTTTGTTATTATGTTCGCAAAACTTTGTTGCAATACATTCCGCGATAACGCCCTATGTTATTTTATCTATCTGTAAACCACTGGCATACAGCCATACACAAAGGAGATAGGGAGACTGGAAGTGTGGCTATTATGAATTTATGATGTACGCACTTGGGCAGAAACCTTCCAGTCAATATATCACAATATGTATTGCAATATCTCTTAAATTATTGCAATATATCGAAATATGAAAATCAGGGCAATATCCAGCCCTAGACATCAATCATGTGATTGTCTGGTCCATACTCTATTACAGTTTGCCCTAGCAGAAATATTGCAGAGTGTGGTGTTTACAAAACGTTTTCTGTCTTTAAAGACAATCTCAGTTATCCAATTCAAATGCAGGATACTGCAGTTTAATATTCCTTTGTTCTTGCTTTCAGAAAGAGGACGACCACTGCGAAATGACCACTTCCGTTGCTCAGCTTTTACTCATCCCAAAACATCAACATAGATATTCTTTTCATCACATTGCTTGGCAGCTACAGTATTTATGAACAATGAAATAAATTCCTTTATTGAACTATAATAACAAAGATGTTTTTATTCATTAAGGAAACAAAGAAGACAATATGTTTCAAACATTTAATAAGACATTATACAATTATAAAATTGCTGAATAATTTGAAATGGTTTGGCGCAGATTCATGAGTTCGAATCCAAGATTAGCCAAAATATATTTCTTGGTTTGTCGGGACCACAGAGAGTTTCACCCAAGTAGTAAACATAGATATTTGAACTTAAGGCTTTCATGCTTCGTTCAACTGAAATGCTGTGATATGACTGACATAATGTGGCAGCATTAAATTAACTCTGGAATCACAAAATAGTTCCATGCTAATAGCAAGGGAGTCAAGTTAACCACAAGGCCAACTATCATGACCAAATAGTGTGATGATGGAGAAATGGACTATAAATATTGATCTTAGGAAGTATGTGAGTGGTGCTTGATGCCACTTTCAGCTATTTTCCTTCAATATCACCACACACTATACCCATGTGGGATATCGAAACCTGATCCTATGGGTGAAGAGCGAACACTTTAACTCGGATACCCTAATCTTAGGAAGTCCTGTATAGGATTGTGTTTGCTAATACTTTATCTATCGACATGTTCACAACAATATTGACCCACTTCAGTTGGTCAGTGTGATCATCTGACATAGTTTGGATGAAGGTAGTTATTCGACTGTTAACATAGCACCTGGGTTGTATGCAATCTTGATGGACGAGAATGAAAACGAGTGGGTGAGTTAAGTCTTATGCAGCTCTCAGCAATATTCCAGCGATATCATGGCGGGGGACAGCAGAAATGGCCTTCACACATTGTACCCAGGTGGGGAATCAAACCCGGGTTTTTGGCGTGACGAGCAAATGCTTTACCACTAGGCTACCCCACCGCCCAAAATGAAAATGGAGTGCACACTGATCCATTGATGATGGTAATAATGAAAGGTGCATAATAATGATGTTGGAATCACCAAAGTTGAATAAATAGAATTCTGAATAAACAGACACTTTAGGCTTTGAACTTGCCAGCGGAAACTAATGCAACTTGTCCAAATTGTTTGCAGGAAATATTGTCACACAACAAATCAGCATCATCAAATCACACTATCACTGCACTGACTATCACTGCATCCTCAGAATTGACAAGGAAATGCACAGATGTTGGACAATATGAATAAGATTCATCTTATTTAGCTTACATTTCTGTAAACCTACACCACCAACCATTCAAGTAGTTCTCATAATATATCACCTACCAAATATCGAGGTTGGTTTGGAACTTGATTTCTGATTGGTTTATTATGAGTAGCCATCCAATCAAATTGATGAAAATCAAAATCAAGTAATATAAGATTGCAAGAACTGCAGAACTAGTTCAAGGCTGGTTAGTGTAGGTGTAGCAAAATGTGAGCCTTATACAGAGGATTGGCCCTATTCACCATGAGCAGCAACATTACACACTAAGTACAGTCTGATAGTTCTCCCTAATTTGTTTCAACTGCTGTGTTTCAGTTCTGACATATTTGTCCTAAGCTCTCACAAAGTATTTTGTCAGCAATGCATTGTATTCATTGGCCACTGTCTTGCTCTTCACCCACACACACTTTACTGTTCTAGGGGAAAGCAAATGAGGGAGTTCCTGCTGAGCAAGAAAAACAAAATGGCTGCTGATCACACAGCTTTGTTGTGTTCTTTTTTTATGCATTTTCAGATTCATATCAATCAGGCTCATACGTTTTGTCCTGAAGAAGTGAAGATTAGATAAATCCTCTCTAATTGTGACATTAACACTCACAGTCCCACAGTCTCATTGTCAGTATCTGTGTTTGAGGGATGTTATATTTCACCCCATAAAATAGACAACAATAATTATTTAAAGATAATAACTCAAAATGGCGTCTCAAGACCTTGGCAACGTGCTAGCTCTGCAAAACTAGTGATGACAAATAATTGAATTTGTAAACCTAACCAAAATTTATTTCATTTCATGTTTTACAAATATATATCCGAACAGAAAACGTAGCATATCTTAACTCCCCATGATAACATGCACAATGGAGCCCAGTGGGTATTACGGCATAATCTTCATGTAACTATAGCGTCGAATTTACCAAATGAAGGATGCTGTCAAGAAATCATTCTCAGATTTCAGCAACTCTTGATTGTGTCCACATGTCATTCGGGAATAAATGAGTGAGTGAGTTGGGTTTTACGCAGCTTCTAGCAATATTACAGTAATATCACGGTGGGGGACACCAGAAAACGGCTTCACACAATGTACCCATGAGGAGAATCGAACCCGGGTCTTCAGCCAACCCTTTAACCACTGGTCTACCCAACCGCCCCTTCAGGAATAAAGTGTACATGTGTCAGGTTATGAAATAATGAAAATCTTTGCATGTTGGATATGGATCATGATAAAACATGTCTTTAGCCTACGATTACACCACATGTATTGATAGTTGCGTTGTCCAGATTTGTTAGGTTGGTTCGTTATCATTTTGACCTTGCTGACTGTGTGATAGCCTGGTTTTTAATAGCTGTAATATTGCTGATGTAGTGTTAAACAATCTTCACTTAGTCACTGTACATATCAGACGTATGATGTATAATATCTTGACTGAAATCTGTACTGTACTATCTAAAAACATTTTGATAATTGAAATAGTTATATCAACTGGTCAAGTTACTTCAATATTTTATTTTTCTCCACCAGATTCTTGTTATGCCACGCTATGCTTGGTATTCATCCATCTGATACTAGTGGGGCGGTGGGGTAGCCTAGTGGTTAAACGTTGGCTCGTCACGCCGAAGGCCCAGGTTCGATTCCCCACATGGGTACAATGTGTGAAGCCCATTTCTGGTGTCCCCCGCCGTGATATTGCTGGAATATTGCTAAAAGCGGCGTAAAACTAAACTCAGTCAGTCAGTCTGATACTAGTACATGTGAGGAAACCGCTTTAAATTTCCAATATCAATTTGATCATAATACGGAAAATTATTGAAAGCCAGATAGGCATAGAATCTATCAAACACGGAAAATCTAAAATGGTATAATTTGTCAGACAACTTCAGTTATGCACACAAATTAGAATCCAATCTAAACGATACGTTTCTATCCTTAAACAATAATTTTATCACATCAACATACTTGACTAAAAGGAATGCATTAGTGTTTCGCAACACCTTTGCATTTCCTTGTCGACGGCGTAAGACAAGAGTTGCCTCCCCTTACTCTCATTATAAGAAGACGGCAAAAGATCATCTAGATCTAGGAGCTGTCAACATGCCGTTCCTCGTGTTGGACATTCAGCTTGTTGTACAGGGAATCCTGTACTTGGCAAGTTTTGTAATTGGTTTTGCTGTGTCCATACCACTCGGGGTTACCACGGTAGGTGCTGTCATCCATGTATTCTTGCGAATTTTACGAACAATAACTTTGGGGCCGTAGGGTCATGGTGACGCCCCTCTCGGTTGTTCTTCATTTTGTTTGGTTGTAGATAAGGTATCACCAGCGTTATGTTGGTGTTGTCAAACAAATCCAGACATTCACTGTAATCATAGACATTGTGAAGGAGCTCAGTATGACACTTTTCATAAATTCTGTGTTCAAAAGATTGCAACAGTTTGCTTTGAATGCGATTTATCCTAATCGGGGAACAATTTTCAATAAATATTTTGTGTGTGAAAGACCATGAGACAAATATTCTTTAAAACAGTCTCGCATACGTCGAGTTTGTTATTATAGAATGTAAGATTTATGATCTGAGGTGAAATATTTTAACAACGCTATGCACATATCACCAAATGCATTAAATGTCTAACTGATAGTAATGTCATGATGTAGGAAGTAAGTTTTACCAGGTTGTGTTTTGGGAATTCACCAGTTTTAAGTTATGGCAATAAATCTGTTGACAAATAGTAAGTTGTTACTATCATTACATAAGATGCAGATTTATTACATTGTTTATGAATTTTAAAAGAAGAAGTTAAAGGAATCAGGCTCTTTGTAATCTGTATGAATCTTGCTTTCTTAATTTATTTCCTGAAAAACAAAGACTTTATTTTGACACACATTTGGAGTGAGTAAATGTTATTTTAAGCTGTGGGAACATACTACCGGTATGCATTGATCACCCAAAATCAGGAAATCATTTTGTTCATTAAAGGCAAAATAAAATAATAAACTTTCATCCATAAAGTATCTTGCCTTTCTTATTACTCACTTTTCTTATTACTCATGGGATGGGGTAGCCTAGTGATTGTTAAAGGATTTTTAAAAAGGTTACTTCACATTATTTATTTTCGCTCTTAATGAATCCCTGGGTATATATAATATTCACAAAATACAGTTAAAAACGGTAATATGTCATTATACAGCTTGTATTAGGAATCTAAAACGCACCTCCCTCGAAAGCATTTTGCGATTACGCAAGATAATGAGCTAGCTGGTCACGTGGTCACGTGACATCATACCCGAGAGTCGCTACATCAACACACGGAAAATACAATGGTACAGAGCCTGTTCGCTTACTGAGGTCTGCTTCTAGTTTAGCAAATAAATCAATCCATGACGTCAAACCTGGATTTGGATGGCATACTAGATACAGATAATATCACATACATGCAACATTTTTAAATTGAAATATTTCTAGCGGCAAGACCGAGAGGAATATTAACGACGATTCCACCAGTTGACAACATACAGCCGTGGGACGATCCCGACTATGACTATGTTTGGAATAGACCTACTGCAGACTGGTATGCAAGCCACTTGCCTATCACATGTTCATGGAAAACTGATTATGGTAGATTCTGAATTAATTTTTCCGCTGTCACGGTAACATTTGCAGTCATGATAACGGCAATGTTCGATCAATGTGTTGAGCCTGTCTTCCGGTATACATCAGTATGGGAAGGTAAACACTGAAATAGTTACGTTCAAGGTTCATGATTTTATGAAGGTTATTAAGTAACTTTCAGCTTTATTTCATAAAATGCGTCTTCTGCTAAATTTGTCCGTAAAGGTTTAAGTATGGTGATGAAATCGTACTGTTATTCGAAGTCGATAAGTTCGATCTCACAACTGTATACAGTACAGAAGTACCCTAAATTCGTTAGTATATGTTTTAGGAGAAGTTAGGTGTATCGTCTCTGATATGGTGCATCAAACATCAGTTTTATTACATTTTCGATTTCCATTCACGTGTAAAGCATCGGTTATTTGTCGTGATACTTAGTCATATAAATCTGCAAATATACATAAAATGATAAAGACCTGTAACCTCCTTAACAGCTGATAATAGATATAATAAATATATATAGATGAAAAAAATAGAACTGACAAATCTTTGTCTATATCTTTAACTGTCAGCTAGTGAAAAAGAAAATTCTTCATTGTGTTCTAGTAGTAATGCGTAAAGTGTGATCAGTCCCAAAGAAAGACGATCGATCAAATCAAGAAACCATCACACAAAATTTAAGCAAATAATTTATTTGCATACAAACTGTTTATGACAATTAATGAATACAGTGTGTACACCAACATCATGAAGGCAAAGACTTGCGTGTAAATTATAATTAACTGGATGGACTTGTAAAAACCTAAGAAAACAAGATTGATCTCCAATAACACCATGTGACACAGTGCATGGTGACTGCAATTTGGAAACATTTACCATCTGAACAAGTCCCCGGATTCAAACAGATGAATACAATAGACCTTAAGACATAGGCACAACTGGTTTCAGTTCACACCCTAGACACATAACATGATTTAATTTTATATCTTAATGTCAGTGAATTCACCAGTTCCTGTTTACTAGTCATAATGAAAGTGTCTGGCAGAATATCCAGGAAAAATAGGCTGTTGTGTCCTGCAAGTCTGTAGGAAGGAAACATGTTTCTTCTCTAGAGAATGGCCCTGAGTAGGAATTCCACATACTCTGTGAATAGATTTTATATTGAATTAGAGACATTTTGTGACACAATATCTGTATATTTTGTTTTGGCAACCATAATAATAATTTTCTTTGAAATCTGCACTAAAAAAGTAAGTACTTTTGTCTTAACAAATGCTGAGAGGGAAAATAGATAATGATTTAAAACCAGTGTCTTTGCAAACAAGACTTAGTGTTGACTCATTAGTTTGGGAAAAACATGCAGTAATAGGAACAGTGTGGGTTTTTTTCAAACTGGAGTGCACCAGTTCAACAAAAGATTATTGATTGTCTGAATTATATTTACCATGTGTTGGTTTCTTGTTCACTGGCTTGGCCTCTTGGTTTAGGCTTAGGGGTAGCTGATTGCCCAGGTGGGTTCTCCAGTCTTGGTCACTTCTAGTGTATTTACGTTGTTTTCATTCATGTGATGTCTCGGGAAATAGATGACTTGGCCATACTGGGTAACAGTAACAGTGGCTGTGAAAATATATCTCTGATCGAAAATAGGACATGAGCGCAAATTATGACGTACTTTTCCATCAACTATTTCTTTATACAGCTAGCTAGTACTGGAGTGTTTGTGTTGCTCCAAAACAACTACATCTTAAAACTCACCTGCAACCAGCGTCGCGTCCGGAATGCAACTCTCTCGGTCTCAGTCCCAAGTTGACATTTCGGCCTCTGTGTTTGTTTGGAATGTCGAAAGGAGTGCCCGATATATAGCATCCTTATAAAGTTCAAGCTTTGCCTAATCGTATCCATATTTCACCAGAGGTTAGGGCTCTTTCATTAAAGCGTTTGCTCATCACGCCGAAGACCCGGGTTCGAATCCCCACATGGGTACAATTTGTGAAGCCCATTTCTGGTGTCCCCCGCCGTGATGTTGCTGGAATATTGCTTAAAGCGGCGTAAAACCAAATTCAGTCAGTCAGTCAGTCAGGGCTCTTTCATAGCACTTCTTTGAACACAATTGACCGTGCGTGGAGGGGTTCACAAAATCCGCACGACTACAGTAAACAATCTATGCCCTTCCTCATTGTACATCTGTGTTGTTTAGGCAGTTGGATAATCATCAAACCTCGAAGTGCAGTTCAGTTTCCAATACATAATCAAAACAACGCTTTATTCAAAATATTGCGCTTCGTGTCACTTACAACTCGATGTCGTATACACTACTGAAATGTCAACACGCTGAGCGGACTCTCGGGTATGGCGTCACACCCACAGATGGCAGACCGCTTAAAATAAAAATATGCATACGAATGCTTAAAATAAAAATATGCATACGAATGGCCGGGGCTAAAGTGGTTTTAGTTTTGGTGCATATAATTTTTACGACTAGTTTTCGTAAATGGATGGTGCAGATGTGGTATTAGACTAAGGCTTAATCTCTGAATATATATAATTTTGATAGTAACAAACAAGCCCATTTATATTGAAAAGGAGCCCTAGGGAGACCAGAGATTCAGAACCTGAACCTGAGGAAATCTAGACTTGCTTTATTTAGGGCTTTAGCACTGCAGAGAGGGCTTGGCAGTAGGGAAAATAATGTGGTTCAGGGACTGTGAGACAGACTAATGTGGTATATATTCATGTTTGAATGGCATTATGTAATAAAAATGCATAGTGTTTAACCTTTTTAAAAATCCTTAAAGCCGAAGGCCCTGGTTCTATTCCCCACATGGGTACAATGTGTGAAGCCCATTTCTGGTGTCGCCTGCCGTGATGTTGCTAGAATATTGCTAAAAGCAGCGTAAAAACATACTCGCTCGCTCCTATTACTAACTTCGAAAATGCCAGCCACTTATTATTCATGTTGAAGTCTATTGCATACTAACGAGAGGCTTAGTGTAATATATCATGGCACTGATATGGAATGAGTAAGTGAAAGCTAGGTGTCAAGTTTATGCAGCTGTCGGAAATATGTCATCATTGTAAATAATAAGTCTTGACAAGATGAACCAGTACATGAAAGCCTGAAGTATGATTATGCCTTTGGTGCCAAAGTTTACTGCCCTGGTACCTGCTATTGGTCTAATAAATTTCAAAATATCCAATTGGTAACTGTTTTTTTCTGAGCCAAGGCAACAGCCGTTGAAATACACAGATAACAGATCTGATCATGCATTTATTGAAGATGACTGAAGTTGTTTCTATACTCAAACACACTGGGGAATGTGTGCATAGTCAGGATGAAATGTGATCATATGCTACTTGTGTAACAGTGAAGTTTTATTATACCCCACCATGAAATGGGAGGGGGAAATGCAGGGCTCCCACAGGTCAGGGAATTTTGATATGTTTTCAAAAGTCAGGGAATAGTCAGAGAATTTGGGATTTAAGTCAGGGAAATTTAGGGTTTTGGTCAGGGAAAAATAAGACTCAGAATGTCGCTAATCAGGTATGGTAGTAGTCAAAGTCAAAGAAGCAGCACATGTTACAGACGTTT